ATTTGACATATACATATATATATATATATTGAACATATTTATATATATACATACATCGTATATGTGGTTTTTGATAGAATATAGATAGTATATGCCACATGTACTGTATCCACAGTAGATGTAATATTTACAATATAGGTAAATATGTTCGTTGAATAAATTTTACATAGTATATGTGGTATATTGAATATCGACAGCAATACACGGTGTATATCTAGATTTTATGTATATATATGTATATATATATATGTATGCATATGTATATATATATATGTACATATATATATACGTGTACAGTATGTACAATGTAAACGAAATATGTGATTGATACAAGATCAAGATATCAATATGTAGTATCTAGAATGTGCATCTATCTATATATATATATATTTATTGTTTTTCTACTGTACATATGTCTAGGTTTGCATAGGCAAGCTTTGCGTAATCCATAGGTAGCAAATATGTTGTAAACCATGTGCGAGGCACGCTATAGGCGGTTCGAAAAAAAGGTTATGATAGAAATATACAGGTAGACAAGGTCCGTTGACGAGGTCGTGGCTCTCAAGTGCTGCAAATAACGTAGAGATGCGAGGTTGGAGGGGTGGAAAGGGGAGTATATATGTGTATATGTGTATGTATATGTGCAAATAACGTGCAAATACTAGGTTTTGGGGGGGTGGGGGGGTTAGGAGTGGGGGGGGGATACCATTGGGGGGTGTGGGGGTCCGGGGACCGGGCTCATATATATATACATATCATATACATATGTATATTATATATATACAAAAGTATAGCATCATCCACATTATTTCCAATAACCTAACTCGGTACCTTTTCAACCACCCAGTCGCCGTGTCAGTCGCAACCCTTTTTTTTTCCGCGTCGTGAGTCTGGATCCACTTAGATCACTTCGATACGCAGGGGCCCTTGGTCAAGCTGTCCATGTCGATACAAAGATTTCTTATCCTGTAACTATGTATGTCTGTATGTGTATAATATATATATATATATGTGCATATGCACATGTGTATGTATATATATATAATTGTATATGATTGTATATGATTGTATATGATTGTATTTGATTGTATATATATATGATTGTATATGATTGTATATGATTGTATATATATATATATTATGATTGTATATGATTGTATATATGATTGTATATGATTGTGTATGATTGTATATGATTGTATATGTATTACATGTATACAGTATGTATACGTACATGGCTTTCTTTCAGCATGTATGTCTGTACAATTTCGAGATGGGAAATTTCAGGAAGAGACAACAACATGATCCATCGGAATTCCATAGATTTCATGATGTTTTTTTTGGGATATGACTGGGGGACCATCCCAGTTACTGACTCTGGTGGATGATCCTCTGAACCGAACAAGACCATGGTAAAAGTTTTCCGTGTAAGTTGGGCCAAGTAGCAATCACTTACTGGTTGGTGGTTGAGGTTGAGCCCTACTCCTCTGAAATTTCATGGAGTGAAAGTCAGTTGGGATGATGAAATTCCCAACTGAATGGAAAAATAAAACATGTTCCAAACCACCAACCAGCTTAATATGGCCAGCGGGCTGACTGAAAATGCATTGAACATTAGTGTCTGACTCTACGTATGCATGGCATTGGGCAGATTAAATCTACTGTACACACAACACATAGTCCCACATACATATTACCCTCTGACAATGTAACAGTTTGCCATCAAAAAGGGGCCGCTTATAAATGATGTGTACATTGATTTACCTGCGAATAGGAAATAAATGTCAGCTATAAACAGCAGAATCATGATTTGGTTCGTCCCTCTAGTGTCGGAACCCGCTGACAAAGGGCCTTCGGAAAATATTGGAACCGCAAGACTTTCTCCAACTACTTTGTAAATAGGACCACATGACAGGTCAAATCTTCAAATCATCCATAAGCTGCACATTCAGAATATGTCACATCCCAATTTGGACATTCTGAAGTTCTTCACTTCCAGGTATCATCCAAGAGCGCAATGGACATTGCATGGATTTGCCAGCCGTGTTCGAGGATGTATCTTAGCCATCTGTCATGGGGCCCTCTCCACCTTCCAGGCTTAAATAGTTTCGCCTTTCTCTGCAGCACCTAAGATCGTGGCAAATCAGGCTTACCTCCCACCAAGAGGAAATTGGGCCAAATGAAGACGCTTAAACAAAAAAAAAATGGATATCATAAATGTCATAAATCTCATGAAGTAGATTCATTTTCCCCTTTTTTTTTGGCTGCTCAATTCATGGTTTTTAGCTGTTTTTAGCTGTGACTTTTGAGGGCCGATCTCCATGGGCCACGAGGAGATATCCCCCCAGAGTTGGGAGATTTCACGGGCCAGGATTCACCAGGTCCTATTTAAACAATGGTTGGAAAAAAACATGATTAAACAATGGAAAAAACATGGGTTAATAATGGTTAATAATGATCATAATAATGGTGATTCATGATGATTAATGATTTCCTGGTT